GAGAGAGACTCTGTCTCAAAAAACGAAAATTTTTTAAAAGTACATTTTAACAAAACATGTCAAAGCTTGTTCCTCAAGGTTATATACCTAGAAGACAACAAGGATACAAAGAAAATCTAAGAAAAGAAAACAGAAAGAAGAAAACAAGAAAGGATTTTTGTTATTTTTGTTTGGAGTTTTTTTTGGGGGGGGGGTTGTTCATTTGTTGCTTTTTGCTTTTATTTCCTGATTTTTCAAGACAGGGTTTCTCTGTGTAGCCCTGACTGTCCTGGAACTCGCTCTGTAGACCAGGCTGGCCTCAAACTCACAGAGATCCGCCTGCCTCTGCTTCCTGAAGGCTGGGATTAAAGGTGTGCACCACCACCACCAAGAAGATAAAGTTTTTTTAAAAAGTATAAATTAATGAATTACAGACAAGAAATGTACAAAGAGCATCGAAAGTATAAGGTGGCTCACTGCCGCGACGAAACCTGAGACTCCACCTCAGTGAGGCAAATGAGGAAAACATGAAGAGGCGAAGCCCAAGTTACCAGCGTCAAAAAGTCAGTAAATCTCACAGATGATAAGCAGTAAAGGAAATGAGCATTGTGTCAGAACTTTGAAAATTTAGACAAACTGAACAAGTTTCTGGAGTGGGTTCTTCAAAAGTTATCAAAAACAAAACAAACAAACAAACAAATAAAAATCAACATAAACTCTGAACCACCTGTTCTCTGGGACAGAAGCTGATTCTTCCCCATCCTAGTGAACTCTGAACATCTGGGTGCTATGCGGATGGCACACCAACTCTGCCAGGCGGCAGAAAGAGGGTACACTTCTCCAATTACTGCACGAGTCTGGCATGCGAATGACACCAGAGTACCTGTTACCCCTAAAACAATCCCTCGGGGGAGGCTCTGCCTAGAAACAGCGGCCTCGGGAAGCTGAGGAATGGAGCTGGAGAGTGGCTACGTGTTTAAAAGCACCAGCCGCTCCTGCAGCCAACCCAAGTTACTCCCAGCATGCACCGGGGGCTCACAACCATCTGCAACTCCAGTTCAAAGGAATCCAACACCCTCTTCTGGACCCTGTGAGCCCTGCATGCACATGGTACACAGACAAAACACTCAAGAACGTAAAACAAAAATAAATGAATGAATGAATGTTCGCTCAGGATCCAGTCAGGCTAAACTTAACCCGCATAATGGACATTCACAGCTACATACTGCCCTGACCCTCCTGTCCGCCTCACCTGCAGCTCCCATGCAGGGGGCCAAGGTCCACCTTGCTGGCACGAGTGGGCGGGCAGCAGAGGGGAGTGCCAGCTCCATGCACAGCACCTGCAGGCTGCTTCACAGTGTCCCAGATTTCTGGGGCAGCAAGAAGACCCATCCTGCCAGTTCCCAGGCTCTGTGCGCTGACCCTGCCGAGAGGTAGCATGTGGACCTCGGGATAAGAACCTAAAGGTGCCATGGCCGGCCCCATGTTCACAGGTTACAAAGCACTTCTCGACCAAGTGCTTCTCAGTTGACCCTCTGGAGATCCTGCAAGGATTCGCACCTCTGCATATGAGGAAAGCAAGGCTCAGAGATGAAAGAACTTCGGGCTAGCTCAGTGGTAACTCTGGAATGCCGCCACCATGGCATAAGAGATCAGACACACAGCATCCTTATAAAGCCATACAGGGAAATTCTATAAATACAGCCAGGCCACAGCAGGTCCCTGAGAACACCATGGGCCACAAATCATGAACCTTTGTCACCAGAGGCAAGGGAAATTCTCCCTATAAACCCTGCTTTCTGAAAAAGGTGACTCCAAAGCCTAACTAGGAAACTTTTAGATCTCTCTGGTAAACAGAGGACATGTACCCCTGGGGAGAGGACACTCATCTGCTAAGTGACTACCTGTGCCTTCAAATACCGCTGTCTAGAGCAATGGTTCTCAACCTTCCTAAAGCTGCAAGGCTTTAATACAGTTCCTCATGTTGTGATGACCCCCGACCACAAAATTATTTTCGTTGCTACTTCATCACTGAAATTTTGCTACCGTTATGAATCATAATGTAAATACCTGATATGTGATCCCAAAGGGGTCGTGACACACACACAGGTTGAGAACCACTGGTTTAGCGCATATGAGTGAGGCTGAGAGCAAAAGCTTAGTTAGCAATCCCTAAAACTAAAGGCCCATTGGCCTCGGGTGGCAGAATCTAGAAGCTTCTGTAAAGCTGTAACAGCCCTCCCCTACACACACCACCAGCACAACGTGGCATGTTACCTAGGGTGGAGAGGAAGGGAGATGAACCTACAGGAGATTGGTGGATGTCATTTCTAGAGACCTCTAAGAAGTGTTTGAGATGAATCCAGACCAAAACCCATTTAGAAGGCTGAGTCACATGGGAACTGGGAGGACCGTTCTGTGCAGATTAGGCTGGAACATGGCCAGTAAACAGAGAGCGGAGACAAGCGGGCCCTCCTCCAGATGGAGAAAGATAAACAGGAGGGGCCCCAGGGACTAGGCTGCTGCTGCTGCTGCTTCCGAAGCCACTTATGCCGAGGGAGGAGCTGGGAGGCGGCATGGCTGCCCGAGCCCACAGCACCAGCAGGCCCCTCTCCTTACCTACTCCGTCTCTTAGCGCAAGCTCCAGGCCCAAGGCCCACCGCTCCCCCAGAGTTCCCCCCAAGCCCTGAATCACACCTGCTGCTGGCTCTGCTCCTCCAGGTTCATCTTCACCTCCAGCGACTGGCGGGCTTCCAGGAAGGCCTTGCGATGCTTGCGGTCCGCCATGTAGTAGGACATGATGCCCACGATGATGGCGCACAGGTAGAGGAAGACGTTGGCCAGGATCTACGTGTCGAGGAGGAGGAAAGAACAGTACTGATGAATATATATCTTCAGGGAAGCAGGGACAGGGAGGTAAGGGCTGACAGGGATCGACGTCAGAGGCCTCTGAGTGGACCCTACCCCATAAATCACCATCGGCAAGCTATGGCTCCATGCCAGGAATGTGTACAGGCCACAAGGCTTGGATGCAAGTTTACAAGGCCTGGTGAAAGGCGGTTGTTGCTCTCCTATATCATACCACCATCAAGCCCTCTCCAAGAGGTTTGGACCCGAGCAACTCTTGGCTACTCAGTTGTTAAAACAGCATGTATGGATCCCCAGCTTAATGGGTTCTGTCAGTACTAGCCCACTGCCTGCAAGCCCAGCGCCAATGCAAGACCTTGGCTGTCAAGTGTTTGCCCCATCTGATACCCTACAGACTCTCCTAGGTGACCTAGTTCCCAGTCACGCCTATAAGGCTGTTGGATTTACAGAGCCAAAAGCTTCCTGCTGGAGGGAGCCTTGAATACGGACCTGAATGTCCCCATCAGACACGGCTCCTGATGTTAGCAGCTGCTGGCTCTCAGCTTTGGTGGCTACCTGAAGTGGTGGGGCCAGGTACTAATTCCCTGTTGGTCTGAAAGTCCGCTGGCCTGAGTGAGCCTTCTCAGGCAACACTGTTGCCTGGTCCAGCTCGACCTGTTTCTCTGGAGCCAGTGCCACAATTTTTTTAAGGGTTTATTAATTTATTTTCATTTTATATATATGAGTGTTTTGCCTACATATATATCTGTGCACCATGTGCATGTCTGGTGTCTAAGGAGGCCAGAAGAGGGCATCGGAGCCCCTGGAACTGGAGTTCCAGATGCTTGTGAGCCACCTTGTGGGTGCTGGGGATTGAACGTAGGTCCTCTTCAGGAGTAGTCAGTGCTCTTACCCAATGAGCCCTCTCTCCAGCCTCTCCCCACCCCACTCCCACACAACCTTCATGAAGCCATTCTTCTCTCCCAGCCTGAGATCCTGCAGGAAAGCGCAGGGTGGAGGGGCAGTCACCACCCACAGAGGTAGTGTGGCTATCCCTTACACAAGCTTGGAGTTGAAAAGCAGGAAAGGCAATTAGGAGTTTCATTTCTGGTCCTCCAAGGAGAGAAGACTGGCCCAATAGTGTGCATGGTGGAGTCTGGGGTCAGGGAAAATTATGGCGAAGGATTTTACATCGATGCTTCAGTGGACGGATAAGGAGATGAGTTCTGATTCACTTTCTGGGTCTCCTGGTTATGCCACACCCCCTCTGAGCTGTTTTTTGTTGAATCAGGGCTGATCATCAGCACCCTGAGGACTCACCACCACCACACCCACAGGATGTTCTGGGTCTGGGGTCACAGATGGTTGGCAGTGTTGAGTCCATGGGAAGCCCCAGCACAGAGCTACTGAATAATGATGACTTCAGAGGTGAAATGTGTATTTTGGCCAGTCAGAAGTCACTGTAGGTAGATTCCTGAGCTCCTGGGTGGTTACTTCTACCATCTAGATCTGTGTCAATCTTGGGCCTAGGCAGCCACAGCTGTCACTACCTGGGGTCGCTGTCTTTAGCAATATCCCTGTACTATTTGATTACTTGACAGATCCCAACATCTAAGCAGCCAGACTCGGTGGGCCTCAGCCTGATCATCTGAAAATCTCTGGAGTTGGATCCAGTGAATGCAGTCAATCAGACAGACCGTGTTAGGTCTCAAAGTCAGTCTAGGATGATGCCCAAGAATCTCCACCTGCCCAAAGGCCATTTTCCTGCAGGGTCAAATGCCCTTGGCTTCTGCCCATACCCTCAGGCTCACAGAGCCATAAACTGGCAAGACTGGATGACAGGGTCAGGCTGGCATCCTATGCTTCCCATGTGTGCCAGGCTCAAGGAAAGACGCTGTACGTGGCAGTAGCATGCAACTGGGACTCATGCAGCTAGTGTCCCCAAACTAGGGGCTCAACCAGGAAAGGACTCTGGAGAAGGCACGTGTACATTTATCCCCGGCTAACTAGCTGGAGGTAAACCTCGACATTATCCTGTCCCCCCACATGGGCAGGCCCTGCCTTCCTGCTTGGCCATCTCATAGGGATGGATGAAAAAGACATGGTTATCCATTAGGGTGGTGGCCCAAGCAAACAAAACTATGACCCCCAAGACTTTAACTCAAGGGATGTAAATGTAGGCTCATACCTGATGACACTCTCCCCAGGACAGACAGTGCATCTCAATGATCTGTATATATTCTAAAATAAAGGTGTACGCAGTAGGACACAAACTCGGGGCCACCCTGGGCTTACACCCCACCCTCACTAGCCAGGTGCCCTTTGAGGCCATTTGATCTGTCCTGAGCCCAGCCTTGATGGATACTGCCTGGTCTTTATTAGCCTTACATCTGAAGGCAGCAATTGGGACTGGGGAAGGTTTGGTCCATGGCGACCAGGAAGGAGCAGAGAGCTGGAGAGGTGGGTGGCTCTCAGGTTGTCATCAGTCTCCAACCCTGAGCCCACAGTCACAGCTGCCTCACCCTTTTCCCAATCAGTATTTGAAGCTCATTGGTTCCAAAAAGGCCAGTGGGTTTGTAAGGAAGTGGGTTTGCAGGGCCCAGGGATGCCCAGAGACTCCACGCCCCACACCCTGGGGATTTAGTTACCTGTTTCTAACAATTTTAGAGCCCAGACTTTGAGTTTCTTAAACCTTCAGTCTTCTGCACTTGCCCAAACCCAGCTGTTCTAGCCCAGCCTGTGCCCTCCCTTGCTATGGCTATGGGGCTTGAAAGGAGCTTGGCAGTCTCTGACCTAAGTGATGTGTGCTGGGAGGCTCAGCCAAGGTCTCACCGAGGCCAACTCGGCCCCCACATCCAGGGCACGAATCCAGCAGGCCAATGCTGCCAAGCCAAGGAAACCTCGAATAATCCAGGGAAGCAGAAGCTGGCCTTGAGGGAAGAAGGTTTGGACATGCACAAGTGGAGCCCCGAGGATGGTGAAGAGGGCTCCCAGTATGTCAATCCATGGTCCCTCAGAGGACCCAGGAGGTGAGCTAAGTGAGCAAGTCAGGGCAACAGGGCCTCGGTTTCCCCACTGTGTCAACAGTACATCTGCTCTTAGACACAGGGACACACTTCCTCAGCCTCCTCTCAGTTCCAGTCCCTGCTGAGGTGACTGGGACATTGCTCTGATTTTATAGGAGTAAGCGTCGTCCAAAGAAAACTCCAATTCTTCAGACTCCAAAAGGCTGTCCGTATCTCCAGACACAAGTTTAAGATGAACTATAGGATTTCTGGCCATCAGATAAAAACCGGCATTTCTCAGGAGCTTGTGAAACTGGTTCCCATCTGCCAAAAGGAACCATTTCCCTTGCTCTGGCAGAAGGGACATATGGCTACCAGTGGCAGTTATCAGCATATCAAAAGCCCAGGACAGCCTCCAGACCCCCTCCGTACAGGTACCGGTTATGCATTTCATAGTCCACGCTAGCATCTAGCCCTTTCTCATCCCCCTTCCACCCTAAGCTCCTTCTAGCTCATGGGCTTCTCTCCCCTCAGCTACTCCTTACAGTCCAGCTAGTCTCACTATTCTCTGCTTCCATTCTCACTTCTCTACCTCTTGCTATCTGCTTACTCTCTTCCTATGACTGTGTGTGTGTGTGTGTGCATGTGTGTGTGCGCACATGTGCATGTATGTTCTATTCTGTATCTCTTGCTTTCTCCACTTTCTCCAGCTGCTCTCCTTGCCTTGCCCCGGCCACGTTCACGCTGCTTCTTTCTCTCACACCTAGGATAACAACCTTAACCATGTCCTGGAGCAGTCACGTCAGCTGTTTTACTGTGCTCCCCTTGCGTACAGAAAGAAGCACAACGAAGCAAGGTCCCCAAACAAAAACACACCACCTTCTCCTACACTCGGCTTACTCTGGGTTCGAAAGGCCACCCTGAAGCACTCAGCTTATAAGCAGAATCCCTGTCTTTTCCCAGAAAGGACATCAGATAAGTTTTAAACTAAACCTGTCACAAAGATCTCAACCCTAACGCGCAAGAGTGTAGGCTATGTCAGCTCCAAAGGACACTCCAATTCCCTCAGATTCCAAAAGAAATGACAGCCTTGGCTCGGCTCAAGCTGGACTATAGAAGGATTCCTAAAAGCCTACAGTCAGCACTTCTCAGAAACCTGTAAAATGGGTCTCTGCCTGCCAGAAAGGGCTACTTCCTTGGCATACACCTGTGGCTGCATAGTAAAGCCCACGCTGGCCTCCAGGCTCATTCAGTCCCTAGTCACAAGTACCTGTTATATATCCCAAAGTCCAGGCTAGCCTCCTGGTCCTTCTCATCTCTCCCTACTCCTCCTCTACTGTGCTAGCTCCCAGGCGGTGGTAGTTCACAGGTTTCTGTCCTTCCAGACACCCCTTTATTCTCCCTATAACAGCAAGGCTCCCCCAGTCCCCCACGATTCTCTTCCTTGTTCTTCCCTGCTATGCTCGCTTCTCTTGAAGATGCCCCTGGCCATGCCCACTCTGCTCCATCTCCTCTCTACTCTGGACACTTCTAGATGCTTCTCTCTCTCATCTACAATAACCCCCCCCCATCCCAAATCATGGAGCAGCCATCTTAGTGGCTTCTTTTCTGTGTCCTCACTGACAGGCTGCATACATTTAAGCCCCCTCAAAGACATATGTCTGAAGAAGTCCCTCAGTTTCCAAGCACAGCAGAAGTCACTGTCTCCTAAGGTATGAAACACGGAGGTTGCTCTTTCATGTCTATGGCTTAGAGAAGATGGGTGTATCCCTCAAGACATGCTTGGGGAAAGAGTAACTTTTACTCTGACAGCGAGCCAGCACGCTGCTGGCCAGGGGATAGGTGACTATTATGTATCCCTGTCTCCCAGGACCACTGTCAAGCAGGAGAAGGCCAGGCAGGTGTGGCTGAGCAAGGACATGACAATCAGCAGCAAGCAGGCCCTACTCTAAAACACCTCTGTGGGCACTGCCTCTCGCACTTTGAGAACTATAG